AAGGGTCTTATTGGGTAGGTTAGAATAGCAAGGGTAGGCAAGTTAACAAGGGTTTTAGATAACAAGGCTACGGAGATGCAACATGTGATGCACGAACAAATGTATGAACTTACATGCATATATATGCAACATGCTGGATGCAAGACTACCACAATTCTAGCTAGATGTTACCCTCACTCAGGCTACTTTTCACAAAGAGATTCATGGCAAAACTGGGTAAGCAATAAAACATTACTTAAGTGTAAACACCAATTGCATACGGACATGGTTCCCCAAAAGTTCAGCAAGCTTGAACATGGATATATTGTAGAAATATAAACACATACATTACCACTCGTACCAAATAAACACGCACAAGTGGCATCCATGCGATTAATCCTGCATGGTATTATAGAAATATAAACACATACATTACCACTCGTACCAAATAAACACGCATAAGTGGCATCTAGGTGATTAATCCTGCATGGACAACGTTCTATACGTTGTTGCCAACACATTCACTTCTCATACAATAAACTAGCAGCATATAGACATACATGTTACAAAAAGCAAAGCGCGGCATGCATATAACAAGTAAGGCAGGACAAATGTACATGATATAGAGCAGGTCATTATTTCACAATTTTAAGCATGGCATTTGTATATGAGATTAAGCATATTAATAAGCACAAGGCAGGAAACATGGGCATATATAAATTAAAACACAGGAAGATCACATGTACTAAACCATGGCAAGGAATAATTAAAACTGCTTGCTAAAATTTCAGATTACAAACACCCATGTATCGTCTTCTCCTCTCATATTTGGAGACAGAAATGTTCATGCCCAACGGATGCGATTGTACTGCCATCACTTGCTTAAATATATGATGTTGTGACGGATGGATAACGACGCGATGCTGAAAACTCGTAGGGGCGAAAGGGTACATGAGACGAAACTGCCGTTGGATTCACTGGATGTGGACAAATGGTAGCTTTCTCTCCATGTTGGTTTGCGAGATTTTCTATGTCCTTACCAAAGCATCGCGCTTTCAAGCACACTGCAGGTGCTCTTGTATCATCCACGTCGGTCATTGGCACACCCACCGGCGACCGTTTCTCCGTCCTCCGTGTGCGTCAATCTATCGCATGGTCTCAAGGCCAGCCGCTCGTGCTGGTTGCTTTACCGTGCTGGAGTGTCTCGCTGCTATTTTTCCCATGCATACAAAACGGGCGAGGAGATATCGTCCATCCGTCCTTGCCGTGCGAACGGCTATCTAGTGGATGTTTGATGACTCGCACTGTAGAATTGACTATTAAATAAATCACGCGTGTCTTATATTATCAAGCGTTGTAATTAAGATTGTTGAGTACTTTATTCGTTTCAAAATATAGGATTTATTAGGATTTAGTAAAGTCAAACTTGATAGATTGTCATCTACATACAATTACTCAAATTATATACACGCTTAGTATATAAAAGTTATTGTTCATGTTATCATTTAACTTCCAAAATCACATGCATCAACCTCGGCAGTAGTACGTGATTGTCTATTCTCAATCTATCAAATGTGATATATGGAATATATATGACAAAGGTGGAGAGTCTTGGAGTATTTCGATCAATCGGTCATATGCTATTTTCATGAGAAATAAAATTGGCAAGTCGAAGTTGGAGATTATCCTCTAATTGCAGGTCTCCCCCTCTTCCTCACGTTCCTGGAATAAGGCATTCGTGGCATTATATATAAAACGTCATTTTGCAAGTCACTGTAGAGTGCAAGTTGATTATAAGAAATCTGGAGAGAATTCCAAGTAGGATAGTTGGAAAATATCGTGACTATCAAGGGATGATGACTGGATGACCACGCTTGGGCAGTTGAAGTCCACGCAACTATAGCCCTTCTTCACAACAACAACAACAACAAGACCTTTCAAGTAGACAAATCAACGCGCTAGCTAACCTTGGAATCATTCCACGATGATAATGTCCTATATAAGCAGATACTCTACCGTACGAACGGACCTTACCACATTGTGACATTGAGATCAGAAACCCCAAGCACACTAACGATGGCATCTTCTCCTCAGTCGTCTAGCGTGAGGATCCAGATGTCTTCGCCGCAGACCAGCAACGCCATAGCACCGCCGACGCCCAAGGGCGGAGCCAATGACGACTCACCGACGACCTTGCCGGTGATGGCATCAGCAGGCTCCGGGACAATGGCAGACAAGGTGATGACAACCGCGTCCAACCTAGCGCAGCTGCTGCCGACGGGCACGGTGCTGGCGTACCAGGCGCTGTCACCGTCCTTCACCAACCACGGCACCTGCACGGCGGCCAACCAGTGGCTGACGGCCGCGCTGGTCGGCGTCCTGGCGGGCTTCTCCCTCTTCTTCTCCTTCACGGACAGCGTCGTCGGCCGCGACGGGAAGCTCTACTACGGCGTGGCCACCCCGCGAGGGTTCAACGTGTTCAACTTCTCCGGCGAGGAGGAGGAGCGGGAGTGGGCGATCGGCCAGCTCCGGAGGCTCCGGCTCCGCCCGCGCGACTACGTGCACGCGTTCTTCGCCGCCGTCGTGTTCCTCACCGTGGCGTTCAGCGATGATGGGTTGCAGAAGTGCTTCTTTCGTGGTGCTGGTGAAAATACCAACGAGCTTCTCAAGAATCTCCCGCTCGGGACGGCGTTCCTGTCGAGCTTCGTGTTCTTGATCTTCCCGACCACAAGGAAGGGCATCGGATACAACGACACCACTCCGCAACAAAAGGCAACAGCAACATGAGGGGAAAATTTCTGATATATGGTTTATTTTTTGGACATACTAGTTGGTTCGAATGCAATTCAAAATTTGGAATATGATACAGCACTTATGTACATGACCGGCATGTAGGCCCCGTTCGCTTCGCTGAAAAAACAAGCCGAAACACTGTTCCGGCTGATTTGCTGTGAGATAAAAAAAAACACTGTTCCAGCTGAAAAAAAACAAGCTGAAAAGTACATATTATAAGACAAGCGAACAGGACCTATATTATAGATTAGTTTGTTCCTTTCAGAATTATTGTAGATTTTGTGCTTTTCTTTTGCAGGAAAACTAGGTTTTATACTTGTACGTAGGTAATAGGTACATGGTAATTTGATATGTGATTGTTTTCGTTCATTCATAAATACATGTTTGGAAAAATACTGCAACATTGAGGAAATGTAGAATCTTGAGAAATATGGTTGAAGTGGTATCATCAGTGGATTATACGTACTCACTCTGGTGGATTTGTACTTTTCTTTGTGCTAAAGAATAATAAATTCTTCCAAAGAACAAAAAGTCAAAAAACCTTGGTGCAACATCATGCATGATTCATGGCGACGTGGCATCCTTGCATTACGAACATGCCATGCGCTTCTTCAATGTTGCTGTGAGGTTTTTTTCGCGTGTTGGAGCACTACTCCACTCACACAGTCTGCATGGCATGTTGCACACCACACACCAGAGGCGTGATTGTTGTGTTCGCTTGTCATTTGTTATCCATTTAATAATTTATACAATATTTGTGCTCATGTTATAGTGAGACCAGCGACACGTGTGATAATAAGCCTTTTCAGCGCGCATCATGCTGCGAGATCATATACAGTAATAAAGAAAGAAATTAAGAAACAATAGTTCGGTATGGATTATTGTGCAGCGCCGGGATGCACATATCGATCATCATATGCTGACGACAAAACAGGTAGCGATCAGTGCGTGCAACGTAACCAATTGGAACATCGAACTAGCTAGTAGAAAAACCGTGACTTCAGACGAAATAATATGCAGCGAAATTTGAGGAAACAAAAATCGGATCTTGGAGGGGGCTTCGCTGTCTCCGCGCAGGTTCGCCCAATCATCCAATGCCCAACGTCGGCATCAATCGATTCAGCCAGTTCAACCTTCCTCGATCGGTCCAACCGTAGTAACTGCTAGTGATAACTAGTCCACCAACGTGTGAGGACGCGAGCCGTTCAGCGCAGGAGGCTTGGACCAAGGAAAACTCGGTAGTACTCGGCGGTGTACACGCACGCGTCCTCCTATCGTGACCTGCGACGACCCTGCAGCCTTTCCGGAGACGTCGGGGTCATATGGCGGCGCGCGCCGAGGAAGAAGTCAATGGTGCTGGGTCGCTGGCCTCGTGCTAGCCACAATCTCGCTTTTAAGTGTTCACAACGCACGACGCTTCCTTATTTACCTTTCGTTTCAACGTCACTATATACTAATAGCTGATATAGAATTGCGCCATGAGCCACGCAGTGCTATTGCAACGACGTCGGGACTCAGGGGGTGAAGCTAGGCTCTTATATACAATACACCTCCGTTTCAAAAAGGAATTGAGTTAACGAATTACATAGTACTTCTGACTATTTCTGAGTTCAGTCCATTAGAAGGATTGGATTAAGTAGTAATGATCCTAGTTTGTATCCTATTATGTTTTGTTAGAACGTACTAGTCCATCAAACGGCCTGTGCTTACGTATGGGCTAGAATCTTTGGAGACATAACAAACGGCGGCACAAATCTAGAGTTTTGATATTTTAAATTTGGATCTTATCAATTGATACATATTTTTTCTCGCTAATTTAAATTTACACCTTTGTGCTTAATGTATCTTTGTTAACTCCTTTGGATTTTTTTATGAAAAATGAACATTTCATGTCATAAGCTGCATTTTTAAAGTACTACCACAGTATAAATGGTCATGTTTCTTTCTGATTTTTTTGAGAAGTGTGTAATTTAGAAAAATATATATAGCGCATTTTATGGCCATCGAATTATTTTTGCACAATAGTTAGATTAGTATTTATACATTGATTTGAGAGGTATTTTAATTTATTTTTATATGATGGAATATGTGTAATTTAGATACAAATTAAAGGCCATGTATATTTTGGAGATCTTGTCATGGAAGGAAGCTTTCCTACAAAATTGTACTGGTAGCACTATATAGGATATGCTATCCTATGTTCAAATAAATCAATGAACGATAGAACATCACCAATAATCACCACAGGAGCATATTCCTTCCTCAAAATGGTGAAAGCGATTGATATCTCTAACGATGATTTCCCGTTGAACTATTTTAGATATAACCTTAAACACGGTATGGCAGTCCAAGCAGGAACGCAAATTCTTCATTATCCGTATTGGATGGCCAGGAGGTGTCATAGAAAGGCCATATGCTAAAGCCAGCCTCTCACTATGCACCCATAGCATGCGAGCTTTTTCTTCCTCATCCACGTCATGCAATACTACGTTTATGTCTGGAACATAACCTTCCCTCCTAGCCTTCAGGTTTAGCCATTCCAGCATTGCATTTATCATCCGCATATCTGGATGGTCTGCTGATCCCACTGAAAAGGCATGAACTTCTCCCTTGATCTCAACCCAACTAAGACCAGCCTCTTTCTTTACACCTATGTTTCTCATTGATTTCCTCAAAAGAGCAACTTGATCCAAAATTCCGGCTGCAGCATACATATTTGACAGTAAGACATAGGTTGTCCCGTCATGTGGTTCAATCTCAAGCACCTTCTCTGCAGAAAATCTTCCCAGAGCTACATTCTTATGGACTACACATGAGCTAAGCAAGGCTCGCCAAACCATAGGAGATGGTGTTGAAGGAATATCCCCAATAAACTTTAGAGCATCATTTAGACGGCCAGCACGTCCCAGAAGCCTAACAATGCAAGTGTAATGCTCCATAGATGGTTTGATTCTATGATCCATCGTCATAGAGTTAAACAGAGAGAGTCCTTGATTGACTAAGCATGTGCTACCACAGACGGACAGGAGAGCAACAAAGGTGACATCATTTGGCTTTATATCACTTTTATTCATCCTGTCGAAAAGTTCCAGAGCATCCGTGGCTCGTCCATGGAGAGCATATCCTGAGATTATGGCATTCCATGAAACTACATCACATTGTATTATAGATTCAAATACCTTCAGAGCGTCCCTAATGCATCCACACTTAGCATATGTATCAATCAGTGAATTGCAAACAATTGTGTCATTATTGAATGTTGATTTCTCAATCAAGCTGTGAATTTGGACAGCATGTTTGATGGATGCTGTATTTGAACAAGCCCGGAGCACACTAGAGAATGTAACTTGAGTTGAGAGCATATGCGCAGCACGCATTTCCTGGAACACACTCAAAGCATCTTCTGCAAAACCAGACTGACAGTAGCCGACAATAATTGTGTTCCAGCTCACCTCATTGGCATTCCATAATGACGTGAAGATCTCAAGTGAATTTTCCATATTTCTGCATTTCGCATACAGATCCATGAGTGCATTGCCAACAAATAGTTCAGACTCATAGCCTAACTTTATAACAAGGTTATGAATTTGCTCGCCCAGATCCAAAAAGGCGATATTAGCACAAGCCTGCAGAACACCGGACAAACTAAACTCATTTGGCACAACAGAAGACCGCATCATTCTGAGGAACATCTCAAAGGCCTGTTCATTCTGATAGTTCTGAGCATAACGGGATATCAGAAAGCTCCAGAGTATGACATCGTCATGGGGAATAATCTCAAAAACAGTGCGGGCATCCTCAATGTCTCCACATTTGGCATACATATCAAGCAAGGCACCACCAACATGAGGTTCAGTATCATAAAGTGTTTTGACTGCACAACCATGGATGCCCTTGCCTAGCACAGTGGATGACAGGCAAACTGCGGCCTTGAGCACACTGGTAAGCACAAAAGGATTAGGCTTCGCACCTGCCATCCTCATTTTGGAGAAAGTATTAAGCGCATCCTCTGGAATGTCATTCTCAGAATAGCAAGAAACCATGGCCGTCCAAGTGACAGCATCCTTCCTGACGATCCCATCGAACACGCACCTCGCATGACACACGGCCCCACAAAGCGAGTAGGCATCAACCAGTGATGTCCCCACAAAGGCGTTCCTGTCATGGCCCAACTTGCACGCACAGGCGTGGATGCCGCGGGCAAGCCCAGGAGCATCCATGGCGACCAGCACCTTCAGGATCGTGGTGAGCACGAAATGGTTCACCTCGTGGCCTTCCCTCTGCAGCCTTCGGAACAACTCCACGGCCTCCTCAAACTCCCCACGCAGAGCGGAGCCCTGCACGAGCGTGACGAAGGACACCATATTCCGCTCCGGCATTCCGTCGAACAACCTACGCGCGGCGGCTAGTGGGCCGAGCTTCGCGTAGAGGTTGAGAAGGATGTTGGCGCAGAAGGTGTCCAGCTGCGCCACCCCTCCGCGCTGCACGACGCGCGCGTGCACGGCGCGGCCGGCGCGGGCGTCACCACGAGCGATGCAACGCTGCAGGAGCTTTGCGCACGCGTAGGAGTCGAGCTTGGGGAGCGCGAGCGACGCGAGCTCGTCGTCCAGCCACTGCAGCGCTGCGTTGGCAGCCAGGTTACGGCGGAGCGGACCATTGGGTTGTGAGAAGGTTGGCAGGAGGAGGCGGCAGCGGTGGAGCCAGGACTTCGAAGCTGGGGCCTGAGGAAGCGGGATTCGGTGACTTCGCTTGCCTGGCCGTTCTGAATACGGGAAAATTTTCTCTTTTTTCATACCTGATTCGTATGGAATTCCTGCATTCTCAACAAATCTCTTACACACAGATTGTATTTTATATCCAGATAATTTTAGATATAATATATACTAAACATTTTACCAAATATCCATACCTCAGAAATTCTAAACTTTGACATATTCGGTACATGATATTTGGCTATTACGTGTAATTTTATATTCAGGTGAATTTAGATGCATACAAAATATTGTTATAAAAAACAATGCTATATAAGATCGAAGTTTACGTTCAAGTCCACAAGGACTGATTAAATTAAATAAAAGACATAGTGAAGCTCAATGAAATCTCATATTACATGGGCATCTTTGAGTGTGACAGCGTCCTTTCTTATGCTTACAACCTCCGAAGAGTTGCTGTTGCTAGGTTCACTTCTTGTAATTGAACGTCGCTAGGATGTGTAGTCCATGATCAGCATCAAGAGCGTAAAGTGGAAAATAAAAAAGAGAGATATAGTGATCCTAGTATATACTGTTGTGGTTTGCAACCTTAACATAAGCGATTGAGCAAAAGTAATATAATAATCTCATCAATGAGGTTGTGGCCAAGCTTCCTCCTGGACCTCATCCTACATGTCGTCTCCTCTCAACATAGTTTTAGCCTCATAGGCTTCATTTCTAAAACACCACCTCAGTCAACATCCTATCTCACGATCCTCATACATATCATCACTACTACAGGATGGCCTTGTTGTCTCGGAGCGGTAACGGCCTTTAGTCCCGGTTACCGCGCTGGGACAACGATCCCGAGACTAAAGGTGGAACTTTCAGTCCCGGGTCATCGAGCCCGGATTAAAGAGGGATCTTTAGTCCCGGTTGGTGTTACCAACCGGGACTAAAGGCCCTCCAGCCGAGCAAACGTGGCCGCACCCTTTAGTCCCGGTTGGTAACCCCAACCGGGACTAAAGGTTTTTTTCCTTTTTTGTTTCTATTTCTATTTTCCTTTTTTTCTATTTTCATGCTGCTACCAGTTTTTTTTTGTTTCTATTTCTATTTTCCTTTTTTTCCTATTTTTAATTGATGATTCGTTTTGGTTTTTGAATACGCATTCTATGCTGCTAGAATATATTTACGATTATAATGTTCAAAATTTTGTATAAACTATAGTACGAAGGACCTTTAGTCAAGGATCAGCGGTACAATTCTGTTCAAGTTCGTGCTGCTTGGTTAGAGAGCTGAGCTTTTAAGTTAGTTTTCACTCTTCTGAGCAAGTGAGGTGTGCTAATAGGTGGGACTGGCCAATAATTCCAGCATATTGCGTACTGGGCCGGCCCATCGAGGCTCCTGTAAACGCCCAGGACTAAAAGACCTTTAGTCCTGGCTGATAATACCAGCCAAGACTAAAGGTCCTTTAGTCCCGGCTCGTAATACTAGTCGGGACTAATTGATTTGGTCATGTTCAATTGCATCGGACCAGCCGGGACTAAAAGTCTTCGTTTTCAGTGTCAGCAATAAATGCAAGCAGGTAAATACAAGCCGGGACTAAAGCTCGTAAATGCAAGCAAGTAAATGCAAGCCAGGACTAAAGCTCGTAAATGCAAGCAGGTACAAGTAAAGCACCATCAAGTACGTCTTCGTTTCTTATTGCTACTTTAGTCCCGGTTGGAGTTTCAATTCCTACATACGAATGCAAGCACGACAACCGGGACTAAAATCTTGAAACATGCATATGGGTCCCGGTTGGAGTTTCAAGCTCTAAGCTTTCTAGTACAAGTAAAGCACGGCAATAAATGCAACCAGGACTAAAACTTAGAGCTTTAGAGCTTAGAGCTTAGAGCACGGCAATAAATGCAACCGGGACAGCACGCTGTTAGTCCTGGCTCAAAAGACTGCCTGTTACAGTTTCAAGCTTTAATCCTGGTTGGAGACAGCAACCGGGATTAAATGTCTCTTTCTAGTCCCGGACGTAGCCTCTAGCCGGGAGTAAAAGTTAACCTTTAGTCCCGGTTGGTAGCTCCAATCGGAACTAAAGGTCCCCTGCAGCAAAAGTCTGCCGCAGTAGTCGTTGGGCAGGAACCTTTAGTCCCGGGGTAAAAAATGTCGAGGCTAATGCCAAATTGGGACATCATTCTAAAGTCTATTCTCTGGTAGTGTATTAATCATACATACTTGTATTCATCAATCACCAAATATCTGATTTTTCTTACAATAAGGCCTAGATGTATTCAGTGGCTAAAGGAAAACAAAGACATATTATACTTCTAAGTACATCCTGACACCAAGTGGCACTTAGAATCTATAAATCCTTAGCTCTCATTATTATCATCTACATTCATACTTTGAATCCGAAGTATGTGGACATGGCCCATCAATGTGACCAACCAATGTGAATAAATTATGTAAAATACATATTAGTCTCAATAACTTGAGTTTATCGATCAATAATACCTAAATTTATGTCTAGATGGGTTCACTAGGAGTACGAAGTTAGCAGAGGATAGGGTGCCATATGTGGTTTTGATCGCTGAAGGACAACATGATCAAATGGATTGCCAGTATATAAGATTTTAGTTCATTTAGATGCAAGGATGACTTAATAAGAAAACGTGAAGATCAAGTAATCAACACCTCAATAAAGACCGAGGAGTACCGTTAAAGATCATAGAAGATATGCTAGAAGTTGAAGACATCAAATAGAAAAAACCTGGACGAGGCACCATGTGTACTACACGAACATATTCAGCATCCATCACGTTGACCTAGTTTTATTCTCTTTAAGAAAAATTGAAAGTTAAATCTTATATAATTTAATATGGTTTAGTAGAATAGTATCTTTGTATAGATGCCAACTGCAATCAACCTTATTTTAAACATTATATCGAAATACAACTCGATAATGTAAAGGGTAGCATACAGTAATTGTTATACTATTGCTTAGCATATAACAACAAGTAAATAGTAAAAGAATGTTAGATTATGAATTAATAGAGTGAGACTTAATTACTTAAGATTTTGCTATATCTGTTCTATATTTTCTTTGTTTTAAATTATAATAATACGTTTTAACTCTTTCATTGTACCATGTTCGTTTATGTTAAAATTTAATTTATGGTTATGCTTATGCTAAAATATTATGAGAGAAAAATATCATTTCATGGTTTAAAAATAGCTAAACCAAACTATCGGCCATCGGCCCAGCGCGGCAGAGTGAGGAGCAATGAACTATTGCCCTATTGGAGCCCGAGCCACGAGGCCCAGGACGCCGGCGCATCACCGGATAATCGAAACGATGGATCGATAAACCATCATCCATGGATGGTTGGCGGCTTGGCGTGCTCGTGCGAGCACGATCCAGACAACCGTGCAACCAGCGGACAGCATGATTCCACTCACTTGCACCACAGAGCGGCAGCTAGCGGAATCTGCAGCAAAAGGCGGCCGCCCACCAGCACAATATCCGTCCATCGCAGCGACGGGCACCAGCGTCCCCGAAAAACAGAACAGCCATTGCGCTTTACAGGCAGCCCGGACGGGCGCTGCTCCGATCCACAGCTCCACACACACACACCACGCTAACGCAAAAGGTTAGCCGGAGTCGCGAATTCCCGACGCGGAAGAGAAAAAGCGCGGAATTTGATGCTTAGATCAAGATAAAGATGGGCGCGGGCCAGGCCAATTCAGTCTGTGTTTCTAGTTCGTGAAATAAAATATTTTGAATGTCATATCGGATGTTTTTATGTCGGAAGGAGTTTTTGGATACTAATAAAAAAAACTAATTACATAGCTCGTCTGGAAACTGCGAGACGAATTTACTAAGCCTAATTAATCAATTATTAGTGCATGTTAGTTACTGTAGCACTTATGGCTAATCATGGACTAATTAGTCTTAAAACAATCGTCTCGTGATTTTCAACCAAACTGTGCAATTAGTTTTTTTTCATCTATATTTAATACTCCATGTATGTGCCGTAAGATTCGATGTGATAGTTTGGGGTGAAAATTTTTGGAACTAAACCAGGCCTCACAGCGGTAGTCGGCAGATCGATCACGTCAACCACTCGCGCCTGGCCATGGACCAGTAGACCAGTGACTGCACTCCACAGTGTCGTCAAGACTCCGCGGGAGGAGACAGAGAGCCACGTCACGAGGCCCGATAACGACTAGTGTAGGCGCGCCGCCGCCGCCGCGAGGCGAGCATCACAACAGTGACACTCGGACTGCCGGCGCTTTCGGCGCAATCGGACCGGTCGTAACTCGTAAGGGGCGTCCCAACGGCTAGGTTTGACTAGTTATTTTTGACGTGAACATAAAAAAAATAGAAGAGAGGGTAGGGATTGACGGCGAACAAATAGCTGATCTATTTCACATAGGCAAGAATCTAAAAGAAACACATTGATACAGTAGTATATAAAAAATAAAAATATATAAAATAATCTTCGCTTTTGTCTCTCCCCTCCGCGTAAACGTAGCCTAGCACACTTATGGACGCCCTAAGCCCCGTCCCATCAGCCGCGGCCAACAACTGTGCCGTGGCGGTGCCTAGCTCCTGCCTCCAACCAACGGGCGGGACGCAGGCTGGATAAACTAGAGGAGAGCGTGCCAGCGCGGGAGGCCTCGCCATTGATCGGACGTTGATGTGCTGGGACCTGGGAGGCTGGGAGAAAATGTCGACGCGGTGCACCGGACGGAGGAGGTGGCCGGCCGGGCGCCGGCTCGGGGCAGACAATGTTCGTCGCAGGCCCACGGACTGCGCTCGGATGGAACGAAGAAAAGAGTACGGCCACAGGTTCGTGCCTACCACTCTCCTGCAGTCCTGTTTGTTGTTTTTGACATGTGTGGGTCCGACGTGTCATCCGGAAGGCATGATGCTTGTGATAGGTTCACCGGGGCATGGAACGGAACAAGCGCTAATCATATCGTTGGGTATGCTAATGCTACACGAACACAGGAAATGCACCTGATGAAGGCATAGATATGTACCGGTACCATACACCCTCTCAAAAGCTCATTTGTGACTCACAAGTCGTGAGTTTGTTCTCACA